CTCCTCGGTAAACCAAGGAGCCAGTCGAGATCTATGCCGGGTCAGAGGCCGCAAAGGCACGACTCGGTCTAGTGCTGCGGCAGCGGTCATTTCCCAAGCTGCCGCCTGATTTTCCGCCGAGCCATGAACTAGATCCTCCGGATATGGCCCAAGCTCCGTCAGGAACCTAGTAGGGTCCATCAGTCGCCTGGGACGGAACACAGGAAATACAAAGCCTCAAACAGGAACAGGAAACAACTCCAAACAAAAGCCTCAGAGGGTATAAAAACCCACTCCCTACATGTGCTCACTCTTTTTTTTTCCAGAGCCATCTTTCTGTCTGGCTCTCCTCTTCAATAAACTGCAACGTTCTTTCTAAAGCAGTCACCATGTTGTTTATTCCCGGCTTGGACTGAACCATGATGAAGGCTTCAGTATCACCTTACTAGTAGTTAATTAAATTTAGACATGCTTCTATTTCTTTCCCAGCCCTACAGATCTCTTGTAGCAAACACAGTGGAATTGTAGATTTTCTGACTGAAAGTCCCAGACCAATTTACACATCTTAAAGTTGCCAAGTCTGAGAAAGACTGGTCTAGATAGAAGACTAACCAAAATGGCTTCCACTGCTTACAGTTTTTTTGGAGTTTAAATGTGAATTTATAATACAACTCTTTCCTCTTGCAGGTCTGTTCAGCTGAATGGCTTTCTCCTAAAAATGCCCAATGATGAAACGCTACCAATTTTGCAAGAAAATCCCCTTATTCCTGGGCACAGCCTTGACCTCCCAGCTTTCTCATATGGATTTTATGTAATAAGAAATGCCAAAGTCTTGGCTTGCATTTAGTAAGTTAATACACATTTTGTAAGCCTGGAAGACAAAAGGTTTTATTGAGATTGACCACTTCAGCCCAGAGAAAGATGAAATGTTTTAATAGCATTTGTATTTTCCCCCAAACACATGTTCATTTTTTCCCCTTTGTACAAGTTAGTAAAACTTTTTAATTTAAAAAAAAATCCATTCAAAAATTCATAAACATTTTGTAAAAATGAAAAGTCTATATTTTCTTATATGGGCAATTTCCCCTGCTTTTTTTTTTTTTAAGTCAAGGGACTGCATCACCACATTTGGAAAACTCCTGCAAGTCTTCTAATTTGCAAATGATAAATTAGCTTGGTTTGTATTTGCCCTCATCTTTATTCCAGGTAAAATAAAATTTGTCACAGTCTCTCTCCAGGTATTTTAGTGGCAAAAAGCTAGAAGGAATAAAGAGCAAATCGCTTCCTTCATGCTCTACTGCCATTTCAAGCTTTTCTTTGAATTCTAAAAAGGGGTACAAAGCACTTTATTTCCTCGGATGCTATCTGAGGAACGAAGACTCTGGTATCAAACAAGGAAAATGGATGGCAAAGGTGTAGATTATAGAACTGCTGGGAATGAATAATAGAACAGGCCAGTCAATGTTTAGGAAAATCAACTGAAGACTACCAGAAAGCATATATATCTGTGATCAAGCTGTTTTCGAATGTGACAATCAGATTCTAATCTCAGGTCCTCGGATTAAAGGCAAGGAAACCAAGAAGAGTAATTTCTCAGGGTGAATTCTTTCAGCCATGGGTGCTTTTCATTTATTTTGAATACAAAGACCTTCAAGTATGGTACATTTCATTGGTTACCGTGCTAGCTGTGCAAACCAGACATTGCCTTCTTGATCAGAATATGGGGTCTTGCACTCCAACGGTTCTGGATTCAGTCTCTGGCCTCTCTGTGTAATGCTGAGAAAATGCATGTTTTTTTACAACTCTAGACACTTCTGGCTTATTGGGGCACACCGTGCTGAGCGCGATGGACTAGAGGGCCGATCTGGCCCTCTCAAGTGTTTCTAGACGTTTGTATAAAATATATATTTATTTTCATTTGATGTGTGCTATTATTTGATTTGGATTATTTGTACATTTTGCAATAAAGTTTTTATATTGATACATGTGCATTTCTTAGTTGTTTACTCTGCTGTGCAAAGAAACAAAGCTTAAAAGTAGATGGGGGAAGAAGACACCACCGCAGGAACAACAACAATAATAAAAACTTCTATTCAGCTCCTCAATGAACAACATCTGATAGAAATATAAAATATCCTTTATTTTTATTTGAGAAATAACACTGGTTTCCATGTGTTGCCAAATTGACATTTTGCTCTTTGATAGTAAGCATTATCTGGACCATATTCCAAGAATATCTACTGTACATATCCTTTGAACATTGGCCCAAAGGAGAAACTTCCTGACAGTGAGAACAATTAACCAGTGGAACAACCTGCCTCCAGAAGCGGTGAATGCTCCAACACTGGAAGTTTTTAAGAAGAGACTGGACAGCCATTTGTCCGAAATGGTATAGGGTTTCCTGCCTGAGCAGGGGGTTGGACTAGATGACCTTCAAGGTCCCTTCCAACTTTACTATTATTATTATTCCTGAACAGCATATTGTCATGATCAGTGGTGGGATTCAAATATGGGAACAACCGGTTCTCTGTGTGGATGCCGCTTCTGGAAGTCCATTCTGGGCCTGGGCAACAAAAAAAATAGCTACCAGTTCTGCCGAAGTGGTGCGAATCTCACTCCTGGTCATGATGCAGCCTTCCTCTCCCCACAAAGTTAAATATATAAAATCATGTATTCAATTTTGATATCAAACTTCATCTGTTTTGTCATATCTTCATTAACAGCTGAACCACCTCACATTATTTATAGAGCAAGACTTGTGTCGGGCAAAGCTAGGAAGCTGAACAGCCTATGGTGAATTAGGCTTAAGAACAATTTTCTTAGCACTAATTCACTATGAAACTTAACAAAAATGGGCCAGCAATATGTTTAAACATTTAACACTTCACCATTGGTTTCATAACTAATTCATAAGAAATAATCACAAGAAATTGTCATAGTAAGGGTTTTTTATATTTTACTTTATTATTGCTGTAGAAGACTCAATAACTGATATCATTAAAATAAAAAACCAAAATAAATACATAACTTGACCAGCATCCTAAAGCAAAGGGATTTTGCAGAAGCCTAGTGCAATGTTTCTCAACCCTGGCACCTTTTAAGATGAACATACTTCAACTCCCAGAGTCCCCCAGCCATCCACCCATCTGAAATCCTTGGTTGTATAAACAGGCATAGAATCAAAATCATGTGAAGTATTAGTGCCACTTTATAAATCCTTAATAAGACCACACCTGGAATACTGCATCCAGTTTTGCTCACCCCATTACAAAAACAGATGTTGAGACTTGGGGGGGAAGCGCGAAGAAGAGCAATTAAGATGAGTAAGGCAATGGAGACAAAAATATACAGTACAGAGGGTTGCAGGAATTGGGTATCTCACCAGTTTAGAGAAAAGAAGGACTAGGGGTGACATGATAGCAGTATTTTAGTATTTGAGAGGTTGCCACAAAGAGGAGGGGGTTAAATTTTCCAAAGCACCAGAAGGCAAGACAAGAAACAAGGGATGGAAACTAATCAAGGAGTGAAGCAACCTGGAATTAAGGATAAACTTCCTAACGGTGAGGACGATTAACCAGTGGAACAGCTTTGCCTTCAGAGTTTGTGGGTGCTTCATCACTGGAGGTTTTTAAGAAGAGATTGGACGGCCACCTGTCTGAAATGGTAGATAGGATCTCCTGCTTGAGCAGGGGGTTGGACTAGAAGACCTCCAAGGTCCCTTCCAGCTCTGTTCTGATTGATTAAATGAGCCAAGGTTGAGAAACACAAGCCTTGTGCAAATCCCTTGCAGCAGGCGTCGCGTATTTCAACAGGTACAGAAGACTCGCTGAAACCTCCAAGTCCGTTTTGCTGCATTTCCCCAGTTTTGCAGAAGAAAGGCTTAGAGACGCCCACTCTCCTCTACGTCTATGGAGGTCATGGTGGTCCCAAAGGTGCTTTTTCACGAGGCAACCGGACTTTCTTGTTTTTTTTTCTCTTTGAAGACGTTTCGCTTCTCATCCAAGAAGCTTCTTCAGCTCTGGGGAAGGGCAGGAACCATCCAGTCAGAACTGAAGAAGCTTCTTGGATGAGAAGCGAAACATCTTCAAAGAGAGAAAAAAAAACCAAGAAAGCCCGGTTGCCTCGTGAAAAAGCACCTTCGAGATGCTTTCGGCACATTCCCTCCACCTCGCTTCTCATCCTCCTCGCAAGCCGGAGAACGCATTTGCTGCAAACTCCCCCCAGCGCAGCAGAAGCCGAAGGCGGCGCGGAGCCGGAGCTCAAGGGAGCGCCTTTCTTCTCGGCTCTCTAGGGCAGGTCCTAGGATCACGAACCTACGCTTCCGATTGGCTCTCGGAGGAGGAAACACCCCCGGTGACGTCACGGCAGGGGGGGGAATCCGGGCCCGCCATGGGGCTCGCGCGTCTGATCCGCCGGGCAGCCCCGCCGCTTTGCTACTTCAAAGCCCCCTTTCCCGGCCCGGGAGGGGCGGGGGTGCTTTGCCCCGGGGCTGCGCTCCGGACCGTGTCGGGCCCCACTTGGAGCTGGGAGCCGCCGCGTCCGCCGGGATCGAGGACCAGCCTGGCCAGGACGCTTTCCTCGGCGGCTTTGGTGCAAACGGCTCCGCTCTGGCTCCAGCCTTACCTCCGTCTCATGCGGCTGGATAAACCCATTGGTGAGTTTGCCTGCGGGGTGGAGCGAAGCATCGCGCCTCTTTTTCCTTGAGAATGAGAACGGGAGAAAAAGGAAGCCGCTTGGGTGTATTTAGAGTAAACCGGATTAGATTGGGGGGTTTAGTCACTAACAACAACAGTAAATAATAATAATAATAATAATAATAATAATAATAATAATAACAATAATAACAATAATAACAATAATAACAACAACAACAACAACTATAATAATAACTATAATAATAACAATAACAATAACTATAATAATAACAACAATAACTATAATAATAATAATAATAATAATAATAATAATAATTAATAATAATAATAATAATTGGAAGGGACCTTGGAGTCTTCTAGGCCAAACCTCTGCTCAGGCAGGAGACCTGGTATAGGGCCTATACCAGAGATGGCGAACCTTTTAGAGATCGAGTGCCCAAAAACTGGTCCCACCCTCGCTCCACCCCTGCCCTGCCCTGCCCCCCCATCCCCCACCCCACCTGCCCGCAGGGCCACTCACCGCCTCCAGGGCCCACCGCAGATCGCCCAGGCAGCCCAGTAGCGCCATGCAGCCACGCCCTCTGCCCACGCCCCACAGCATCAATTGTGCGGGATGGGGCATGAGGGCAGAGTCTTGTCTACGCTGCCTGGCTGCCATGTCCTTGGCTGCGCTGCTCTGTGTGTGCCACGCTCGGGGGCGACTCTCCTCCAGGGGGGCTGCTGATGGAGTCGTGGGGGGAGGCGAGGCTGGGGCAGCGGCATGTGTGCCCACAGAGAGGGCTCCGAGTGCCGCCTCTGGCACGTGTGCCATAGGTTCGCCACCACTGGCCTGTACAATTCCAGACAAATGGGTGTCCAATCTCTTCTTAAAAACTTCTAGTGTTGGAGCATTCACAACTTCTGGAGGCAGGTTGTTCCACTGATTAATTGGAATGGAATGGAATATAGAATAGAATAGAGTATAGAATAGAATATAGAATAGAATATAGAACAGAAAAGAATATAGAATAGAATAGAATATAGAACAGAATAGAATAGAATATAGAACAGAATAGAATATAGAATAGAATAGAATAGAATAGAATAGAATAGAATACTTTATTGTCACTTTGAATGTAAACTAATTGGCATACATTAAAATGAAATTTCTCATGGTCAGGAAATTCCTCCTTAGTTCTAGGTTGCTTCTCTCCTTGATGAGTTTCCATCCTAGTTGCTTCTTGTCCTGCCTTAGGCGCTTTGGAGAATAGCTTGACTCCCTCGTCTTTGTGGCAACCCCGGTCCCACCACCAATGATTTCCTATCCCCTGCACAGCCCAAATAGGAACCCAAATAGGAACCAAATGTGGATTTACTTGGGGTTTAGGACAGCAGAGGTAGTCCTTGATTTACAACCATTCATTTAGTGAGT